TATTAATATCCTATTTGTCTCAGCACAGCAGCTAAACCCCAAACCCTAAACCCTAATAAACCCTAAACCCTAATTCACTAATAAGGGAGACAGATGCTCTCTATAACGAGGAGACAGTAGTTTATATGGTTTCTATATATATATTTATATTTTAATAATATATTTACAAACAATATATATATATATATATATATATATATATATGTATATATATATATATATATATATATATATATATATANTATATATATATATATATATATATATAAATACGTATATGTATCTATATCAAAATTTTTTAATTATAATACATAATATTATGTATTGCTATGGTTATATATAATACTACTTATTACTAATGTTAGCTTTCTAGGGTTTAGGGTTTAGGGTTTAGGTTTCTAGGGTTTAGGGTTTGAGTATCTAGGGTTTGCCGCCTACGGCTCTCGGGTTTAGGGTTTCGGTTTCTGGGGTTTAGGGTGTATGTTTCTAGGGTTTAGGGTTTATGTTTCTAGGGTTTAGGTTCCTAGGGTTTAGGGTTTATGTTTCTAGGGTTTAGGGTTTAGGTTTCTAGGGTTTAGGGTTTAGGTTTCTAGGGTTTAGGGTTTATGTTTCTACGTGCCCACTGAGAACCCTACTAAGAAATGCGCTGCCTCTTGTGAAGCCCCCTAAACCCTAAACCCTAAACCCTAAACCCTAAACCCTAATTCACTAATACGGCAGCAGCGAGAGCTGCAGCTTAACGAGGGTTTGCACCGTCAATCAAACCCTAAACCCTAAACCATAAACCCTTAAAAGAACAGTAACTGCAGGTTCTCTGTAGGGTTTAGGGTTTAGGGTTTCTCTCTAAACCCTAAACCCTAAACCCTAAACCCTAGAAATAAGCCGCCTAAAGAAGCAAGTCTCTTCCTTAAGCGCGACCCAAACGAAATGAGATAAAGTCCATCAAGACCCTAAACCCTAAACCCTAAACCCTTTTCTAGGGTTTAGGGTTTAGGGTTTAGGGTTTACTTATGAAAGTGGCGTTGCGCTACAAAACGCAGCAATGGCCACTCGCGGTGTACATACACCTCACCATACAAGTCGATGAGTTTCTGTTTATACTGCTGCAGCAGCTGCTGCTGCTTCAGCTCAAAAAATATCTGCTGCGGCTGCTGCAGCACTATCCCCTCCTGCTGCTGCTGCTGCTGCTGCTGCTGCTGCTGCTGCTGCTGCTGCTGCTGCTGTTGGTGCTGCTGCTGCTGCTGCTGGTGGTGGTGGTGGTGCTGCTGCTGCTGCAGCAGCTGCTGCAGCTGGCGTTCGCGCTGCAGCAGCGCAGCAGCAGCAGCAGCAAACCACCGCTCTATGGACTGTCTCTGCAGCTCAAACGCCGATGGGGGTTTACTGGTGAGGGGGCCAGCAGAGGGGGCGCTCACTCTCTTTCCTTTTTCTTTTGTTGCGAAGCTGCGTATACACCCCAGCCCCCCTCCTGCTGCTGCTCCTGCTGCTGCTGCTGCTGCTGCTGCTGCTGCTGCTGCTGCTGCTGGGGGGGGGGCATGCAACACGCAGGAAACACCGCAGGAATGACGAGGCAACGGCAGCAGTAAACCACGCCACATCGCCACAAACCCTAAACCCTAAACCCTAAACCCTAAACCCTAATGGGAATTCCAGCATCCGCCATGAGCTGAGAAAAGAAAACACAAAAAAAGGCTCCGCCATGCAGCTTAAAACTGAGGGTTTAGGAGGCTTTAGGGTTTAGGAGGGTTTAGGGTTTATGAGGGTTTAGGGTTTATGCGGGTTTAGGGTTTGCAACGCTCAACCAGCTTCTTCGTGCTAGAGTCGTCAGCATGCGCCGTGCAGACGCCGAACCCTAAACCCTAAACCCTAAACCCTAAACCCTAAACCCTGGTCCTTAACCCCAAGTATAAAGAAATGTTTATTTCATCTTTAGCAGCAGAATAACACAAAACAAAAGAAATACAGCTGGGGCCCCCAGAAGTATCGAATGCAGCAGCAGCAGCAGCAGCAGCAGCAGCAATGCTGCTGCTACTGCTGCTGCTGCTGCTGCTGCTGCTGCTGCTGGGGCTGTGTGGATTGGGTGGTGGGGTTGTTGTACTTTTTTTTCTTTTTTTTGCTGCCGAGAGAAAAGGGAGAGCAGCATTTATTTTTTATTTATTTTGGGGTGTATGTACACCTCAGGCCTTGTGAGGAAGGCAGCAAACCACAGCAACTAAGACAACTCTCTGCTAGGGTTTAGGGTTTAGGGTTTAGGGTTTCAAGGGTTTAGGGTTTAGGGTTTAGGGTTTAGGGTTTATGGTGTGTATATCTGAGTGAAGGAGTGAAATTATTTCTTGTTGAGCTGTCAACGCATGCGGGGGTTCCGCCGAGTTCTCCGAGGGTTTAGGGTTTAGGGTTTAGGGTTTAGGGTTTAGGGTTTAGAGGATGCCGTACCCGTCGCGCCCCGCAGAAACTCACAAAACCCTCGCCATGCTGGGCCGCTTTCCTCACCCCATTGGGGTGTATACGCAGCTCCCCCCAACCACCACCGCGCAGGTGGATGTATTTGAGGCTGCAACAGCACACAGGCTCCGCGGTAAACCCTAAACCCTAAACCCTAAACCCTAAACCCTAGGTGTAAACGCTAAACCCTAAACCCTAGATTAAAACCTTCGGCAGGATAGAGCGGCTAGAACACATACACGGCGTGAGCGCTTTCTTTCGGGGGGGCTGCATCGAAGGTCTAGGGTTTAGGGTTTAGGGTTTAGGGTTTAGGGTTTAGGGTTTAGGGTTTGGGGGTTTGCGCAGTGCTGCACTTCCTGGACGAGAAGTTTGGGTTGGATTCATCTACAAACCCCGCGGTGCTGCGCGCTGCCCCTTCTACCCCAGCAGCAGCAGCAGCAGCAGCAGCAGCAGCAGCAGCAGCAGCAGATGGTGCAGCAGCAGCAAAGCCACTGTATATACAACTAGAAGAGATGCTGCAGGAGGGGGGGCTTATGCTGCCTCCTGCTGCAGCAGCAACAGCAGCAGAACAGCAGCGAAGAGAAATGGCTGAGAGAGACGCAATTTCTCACTTTGCTCTCCGCATCGCGTAAACCCTAAACCCTAAACCCTAAACCCTAAACCCTAAACCCTAAACCCTAGCAGGGAGCCTGAGATATGATGAACGTTTGCTGCTGGGTGTAGAGAGGCGCTGTCTCAAGAGATACAATTCAGGGTTTGCATCACGCCGCTAGGGTTTAGGGTTTAGGGTCTAGGGTCTAGGGTTTAGGGTTTAGGGTTTAGGGTTTAGGGTTTAGGGTNGGGTTTAGGGTTTAGGGTCTAGGGTCTAGGGTTTAGGGTTTAGGGTTTAGGGTTTAGGGTTTAGGGTTTGGGGTTTCTCTTCTGCAGGTTCAGCAGAGACCGCGACAAGCAGCGGTGGTTTATACAGCAGGAGAGCCGTCTCCTCATGTACAGATTCGGTAAACCCTAAACCCTCAAAACCCTAAACCCTAAACCCTAAACCCTCTAAACCCTAAACCCTAAACCTTTGTAGCGCTATATTATTGAAAGGGCTGACCTGTCTCTGCTTCTAGTTATGAAGGGTTTAGGGTTTAGGGTTTAGGGTTTAGGGTTTGAGTTTTGTGTTTGTGCTGATGCGACATTGATGGCTAGGGTTTAGGGTTTATATTTTAGGGTTTATGGGGTTATGAATTCTGTGCTTATGCTGCTTTGACCTTCAACCTTCAGGGTTTAGGGTTTAGGGTTTAGGGTTTAGGGTTTAGGGTTTAGGGTTTGGGGTTTTGTGCGCAGACCGACTCACTGCTTTCCGTAGCCTCGACGATGGATCGCAGTCTTTGCTTTCTGCGTTTCTGCAGCAGGAAGGGCTCAACTATACCTGTGTAGGGTTTAGGGTTTAGGGTTTAGGGTTTAGGGTTTAGGGTTTGGGGGCTCTGGTGTCTGTAGAAGAGGAGTGCTTTTTCAAGGGTTTAGGGTTTAGGGTTTAGGGTTTAGGTTTAGATATTTATAAGGAAGGATCAGGCGTGAGCTGGTTTAGGGTTTAGGGTTTAGGGTTTGTGAGCAGTAGGTCCCTCGCATCCCTATCAACGAAGCATACCATCTAGGGTTTAGGGTTTAGGGTTTAGGGTTTAGGGTTTAGGGTTTGTGAGCAGATACCGCGCCCGCGAGACCCCGTTGCGGGGGCCCCAGCAGAGAAGCTGTGGCGGGCGGCTACGGGGTTTCTGCGTGGGGGTTTGGCTCAGCAAGTGCAGCATCTATACATTGTAAACCCTAAACCCTAAACCCTAAACCCTAAACCCTAGACCCTAAACCCTTGTTGTTCGATAACCGCTAGGGTTTAGGATACACACGTCCGTCAGCATAACGCCCCCTTTGTACCAAACCCTTTTTAATACTCTTAGGGTTTAGGGTTTAGGGTTTAGGGTTTAGGGTTTAGGGTTTGAGGAGTTCTGCCTTCAGGTCCCTTGCTTCCCGGATGCCGGCCAGCTGGTGAGAAACCGTCGAGTGCATATCCAAAGTAAGGGTTTAGGGTTTAGGGTTTAGGGTTTAGGGTTTGGGGTTTAGGGTTTAGGGTTTAGGGTTTAGGGTTTAGGGTTTAGGGTTTAGGGTTTTAAGGCTGTAGCTTCTGCGTAAACCTCAGAGACACCGCACGGTTTGGAGGCGTAGAACACAAGAACTAGGGTTTAGGGTTTAGGGTTTAGGGTTTAGGGTTTAGGGTTTAGGGTTTGTTGCAGATATGATGGCTTATGTACCGGACTTCGAGCTGGGCACTGTCATCTGCGGGCGGCTGCGGTGCGTCCCTAAACCCTAAACCCTAAACCCTAAACCCTAAGCCCTGAAGAGAGACGATGCCTTTTATAGATACAGTTTAGGGTTTAGGGTTTAGGGTTTAGGGTTTAGGGTTTGTGTGTGGTGTGTATAGAGCTGTAATCACCGCTTCCTTTGAACTGCTGGAAGGGCGTCAGCTCACGCTGCAGGTGCCTATACACCCCAAACCCTCAACCACCGACAGACAGAGGTTTAGGGTTTAGGGTTTAGGGTTTAGGGTTTAGGGTTTAGGGTTTCTGTGCAGAACACAGTCTTCTCCGATTCACGAGTAGGGAAGCTTCTAAGCGCCGCACCAAACGTTTACTTGGGTAAGGGTTTAGGGTTTAGGGTTTAGGGTTTAGGGTTTGGTTTGGGGCTTGTGTGGAGGGACAGAGGCTACGGCTGAGGCAGCAGCGCGTAGGGTTTAGGGTTTAGGGTTTAGGGTTTAGGGTTTAGGGTTTAGGGTTTGTGTTTAGGGAGAGACTTCAACAGCAACGCAACAAAGAGTACAGAAGAGCGCCTGACGCCTGCGTTAATAAAACAAGTAAACCCTAAACCCTAAACCCTAAACCCTAAACCCTCGCGGCCTCGCTCCCCAGGCCTAAGCACAGACTCAGATGGTTTTGAATTCGCTTGCCGAGGGTTTAGCCTGGGGTTTAGGGTTTAGGGTTTAGGGTTTAGGGTTTGTTGCTGAGGGTTTGCAGGTGTACAGACATTCCTTTCCTCCTTGTATGCGCCGCCTATACGAGAGCTACATGTAACCCTAAACCCTAAACCCTAAACCCTAAACCCTAAATATCAGCCAGCTCCTGTTGCTGCTGCAGCTGCTGCTACTGCTACTGCTCGTGCTGCTACCGCTACTTGTGCTGCTACTCCTGCTGCTACTCCTGCTGCTGCTGCTGCTGCTGCTGCTGCTGCTGCTGCAGGGCGGAGCATCACATGCGCCACGGCGGCCGCATGCAGCTGTGGCTGTTCTTTAAGGTGAGCAGCAGCAGCAGCAGCAGCAGCAGCAGCAGCAGGAGCAAACTAATAGCAGCAGCAGCAGCAGAAAATGCCGCTGCTCAGAGGGGTTTAAGATCTGTCTAGTGTTTAGGGTTTAGGGTTTAGGGTTTAGGGTTTAGGGTTTAGGGTTTTGTGGTTTAGGGAGCGGGTATGACGCTTGAGGAGAATTTGCAGTTCAACAGACAAATATGGAGAGAGCCGCAGAAGTTTGACAAAGAGTACCTAAACCCTAAACCCTAAACCCTAAACCCTAATTCCTAAACCCTAAACCCTAATTCCAAGCCTCAAACCCTAAACCCTAAACCCTAAACCCTCAATGGTAAATAAACAGCGAGTGTTAGCAGTGTTTTCTCTCTACTCTTTAAGGGTTTATCTCGCAGGGTTTGAGGAGCTGCGCATCCATTCTCTCCAGGGCCCAGGACCTAGGGTTTAGGGTTTAGGGTTTAGGGTTTAGGGTTTAGGGTTTGGGGTGTATACGCAGACACGCATACAATATACGCCACATGTACGGCCTCGAGGGGAAGCGGGCAAACTACGCGCCGCTGCGGTGTTCTCAGATCATCAGTGGAGCTGTCACTGGCGTAAACCCTAAACCCTAAACCCTAAACCCTAAACCCTAGTTTTTACCCAGAGGTTGTTTTTCTCTTTCTCAGCTACGAACTCTCAGCATTTGCAGCAGCAGCAGCAGCAGCAACAGCAGCAACAGCAGCAGCAAGTCCAGCAGCAGCAGGATCACTGCAGCTCCCGGTCCAAACCCTAAACCCTAAACCCTAAACCCTAAACCCTAAACCCTCGGTGGTTTGTGAGCTCAGAACCCAGGCGCCGGAGACGCTCACGGCTGTCCCTTTAAAACCTTCGACGCAAAGAGACTGCAAAAACTCCTCGAGGACTGGGGCCTCAACTGTACACAAACCCTAAACCCTAAACCCTAAACCCTAAACCCTAAACCCTAGTGACTATAAAACCCTAAACCCTAAACCCTAATAGCTATACAAACCCTAAACCCTAAACCCTAATCAGCAAATCCCGCGTCTCGTGCTTCGCACGTCATATATACCCCAAGCTCTAAACCCTAAACCCTCCTTGTGTGCTAAACCCTAGACCCTAAACCCTAAACCCTAAACCCTAAACCCTCGTGCGTGCTGCTTGCAGACGCTCAAGTGCGGCCAGTGCTGCAGCTAGCTGAGAAGGGAGACTACCAGCTAGCCTGCAAAGAGTATTACACACAAACACACACAAACAGCGCAGGTATGCTGCTGCTGCTGCTGCTGCTGCTGCTGCACTTGCTGCTGCTGCTGTGCTGTACGAATTGCTGTTGCTGTATTTGCTGCTGTTGCTTTTCTTGCTGCTGCTGCTGTACTTTCTGGTGCTTCGGATGCTGCTGCTGCTGCTGCTGTTGCTGCTGCTGCTGCTGCTGCTGTTGCTGCTGCTGCTGCTGTTGCTGCT